CGATTAGATCCTAGACAACCGCTCATAGCGTTGTGCATGGGCATGTCGTTTGCTCAGTGGTTGGATAGGAAAGTCAAAACTGATCGCGTTCGAATCCCACGTCTGAAATATTTTTTTTATACTTTTTATGTTGTGTAGTTAATACTACATAAACTATTTCAAATTGTTAACTCAATGCATATATTTCGCAAACAAAAAATTGATGCATTTGAAATAAAAATATGTTCATTCTAACAATAGGTCCGCTTAATTAGATTTTGTTTATATATATTTATTCAAACATATATAAACAACGTCGTCTAATTCAATAAGTTTTCACATTTTGACTACAAGGAACAAATAATGAAAATTCTAGTTTTTATAATATTATTTAGTAGACATATTTGTTGCCTGATTATTTTATTCTTTGAATGTTTAATTACGGTACGGGAAGTTCCAGCAATTTGTATTGAGGCACGATGCCATGCGCACAACTAGTTATTATATACAATTTAACATAACCATACTAGTCCAGTCATTTGGTGCAAAAAAAAGGCTGTTGCCGGTACAGTACTCGGGAATTCCGAAAATTGGTAATTTAATAGATTTCGAGGTGTTTTGCCGGTACAGTACTCCGGGAATTCTGAAAATTGGTAATCTATAGATTTCGAGGTGCTCTTCACAAAAATCAACTTTGCCACCTCAAATTTGAACGGCAAGTTGCCACCATATTGAAAAAATGGCGTCAAAAAACAGCTTTTTTAAAATATCTCCTTTCTGGCTGATTCTGCGATAAAAGTATCTATGTACGAATTAAACTAGAGAAAATTTCCTACAATTCTTTAGAAAACCGTTTTTTGTAAAATTGATAGTTTGAGAGTACGGCGCCTCAAAGTCTTTGCTGCTCTCGCCGTAGTATCAAATCTGTCCATATATGACAGCACTTCGAACTTGACCACATTCTCTCTAGTAATTAATATTTTCAATGTTAAATTAAGCGAATAAGATCTAGAAATAAAATAATTCAAATATTTTTCGTTTTTTTTGCTAATTTTTTAACAACTTCAATGGCAAAGTAGCTATAAATATAATTCTTAGCTTGAGTAGCACCTTATAGCGTCAAGTATCTTGAAGCGTTAAAAAATCAGCAAAAAAACAGAAAAATATTTGAATTATTCTATTTTGATCTTATTCGCTTAATTTAACATTGAAAATATTATTATTAGAGAGAATGTGGTCAAGTTCGAAGTAGTGCTGTCATATATGGACAGATTTGATATACGGCGAGGAGCAGCAAAGACTTGAGGCGGCCGTACTCTTAAAACTATCAATTTTCAAAAACGGTTTTTTAAAGAATTGTAGGAAATTTTCTTAGTTTAATTCGTGCATAGATACTTTTATAGAATTAGTCCTCCAAAAAGGAGAATTTTAAAAAAAAACTGTTTTTTGGCGCCATTTTTCAATATGGCGGCAACTGCCGTTCAAATTTGAGGTGCCAAAGTGATTTTTGTGAAGAGCACCTCGACGAAATCTATAGATACCAAATTTCAGAATTCCGGAGTACGTACCGGCAAAACGACCAAATGGACTGGACTATATACATACTCTTCTTTTATCTATGAACATAAACTATTGTCAGGTAAAACGGTCACGTGTGTAAGTGTTTTTAGCATTACTAGCGCTGCTGCGGAAGATCAAGGAACATGAGGGTACATCTTCAATCCATGCTCGCGTTGTAATATCTATGGATTTTCTTGACAATTTAGTTTTGAGCACGGTTAATGTTGACTTGTATCCATATTTATGAATATACTGAAAAGCTTCGTTACAGATTAATTTGAATAAATATTCATTTATATGCGTAATTTTAATCTGTATTTACCTTTGGCCGTTGTTAATAATATAACCGTTGCATAAACTTTTTTGGTTTATATTTCCGGAACCGGCGCAAAAATTTTTGCTTTCCTTCTACAAAGGAAAAAGTGATAATGCTGAATAATATATAATTCCGTTAAAAATTAAGTTTAGTATATAAAGTTTATCAAATTACGAATATTTTCTACAACAATTTTTACACAAGTGCTTATATACTGTGTGTTATTTCTTATATTCATGACTGTCTCTTTCCTATATTACTTAAGTCAAGAAATTAGTTTTGTTTCAAGTCCCTTTGCATTATACATATATATAAAGATGTCTGGATTAGGTTCAATTAAATTGGAAGCTTTAGATGATTATTCACCAAATCCAGGTGCACATCTGGAACCTTCGACAATGTTGGACCATGATACTAGCTCTATAATGTCACACTTTGAAGCAGCTGATGAATTAGGTGCCTTTCATTAACCAAATACAAATATTGCTTTAGTAGATAAAACTATGTCTAACCATAAATATTTTACATTGATATAGGTATGATCAATCCATTAGATAATGGATCACAAATGTTACATAGTCCCTTATCGCCTACCATGAACTTCTTATTAAATGAAAGTGAACAAAATTATGAAGAAGAGGATATCTTGATGCAACATATGGATATTCGAGAACCCTTGTCTACTCTAAAGTAATTATATATCATGCATGATTAGTGTAAGCTTTGTTTTTAATTTATATATTATTAGTAATTATCACTTCCTTTTTGTCTTAAATATTATAAAAAAACAAATAAATCAAGTTTATGGGTACATGATATTAGTATTAATAAGTTTTCCACATCAGATTAATTATTTTAAATATTATATGTATTCATATTTCATTACAGGCAGCTACTAGAGCAAAGGCTTGGTGTTGAATTGGAAGATTACGAATTTTGGTTACAAGACGCCCAAATGGTAAATTTGAAATGAATATTGAATTGTTTCTCCCAGTTTCATACAGTATCTTATAGAATGGATTAATTAGATATGTTGATCATCTATTATAGTTGGAGTCCCATAAAAATTTAGTTGACCAATGTGTTCAAGGCAAGGGGCCAGTTCAAATCAATGTTCAAATAAGGACCGTAAACAAACGAATAAACATAGTTGATGTGTTAAAACCTCATGAAGGATATTTAGAATCTGCAGATTCTGCAGAGATGGGTTGGTATTGAATTCATGTTAAATTTATTCTGCTTAAAATTAAAAGAATATAATTTATCATTTTATTATATACGCTTGTTATGTTGTATGTAAAATATAAAAAATCGGTGCTTATCACCTTCAAATAACTTTGTTTACATTATATTTTGCATGAGTTAATTTAATATGTTTTAAGAAATATATATTTTTAATAACAGAATTGTTGAAACTGATTAATTGTGTTAATGTATGATTTTAAATCAACAAACAAGCACTGAAAATTATTTTTAATCATTTTTGACTAATTTGTTTAAATATTGCATAACTATATTTTAAGATGCTGATGAGAGTAACATCGATGTTGATAATGTTGATCAAGTACACTACAGTGAATTAGCAGAAAATGAGATACATGGAGAGTTTGATGAAACCAATTTAGATTTGGATAATGATTCAAATAATGGAAAAGTAATTAAATGGGTAGTTGATGAAGATTTCAAAAAGGAACAAGTAAAACAAAATATGTCAGATGATCCCACTGAATGGTATGTTGTTTTTGACTTTGTTATACAATGTGTATGCTGACAAATGTTGAATGTGGTAATTGATTTGATAAGAAATTGTATCATTTATATCTAATATAACTAATGTTTAATCTAATAATCAAACTTAAAATTATTGATCTTAACACATAGACATAGTACACATAAATATAGTATACTTCACTCTTTTTTATTTAATTATAGGACAGTATATGATGTAAGGAAATGGTTAATATGGGCAATAAAACAGTTTAATTTGGCTGATATTAAAATAAAAGATTGGAATATAACAGGTCAACAATTATGTGATATGACACACAAACAGTTCCAAACATTAGTTCCTAATGATCCAAAGAATGTGTTTTGGACACACTTAGAATTATTAAGAAAATGTAAATTTGTAGGTATGTTTACATTAATAATTATTTCTAATTTCGGGAATTAGTAAAATTACCGATTATTATAATTTTTAGTTTTTAATTCATTAATAAATTTTATAGATTCATTTGTACAATATATCTGACTGACAAAACATCTAGACAAACAAAACCCAACTAAACATTTTATTTTTTATGCCGCTTACTTTATTTGACGCGACCTGCCAAACTCCCACACTAACTTACGTTACAAACTAGATAAATTGTTTTTCATGATATATTTATTCAATGCTCTTATAGCTGTTTTACAAAAGGACGAACAAGAAAAAGAAGCACCTCGAGCTATAATACGGAAACCACATAAGGTTATTCAAAAACAATTTCCATTACTAGGTAAAATACATAATTGAATTAATTTTTTAACATTTTATGTATCAATCTTTGTTAATTATTGATGTTTTTAGGAGGGCTGATGAATGCTGCTAAAAAATCAAATCTTCCTATGGATGCTTATAGGCCTGGCAATAATGGCCAAATTCAACTATGGCAATTTTTATTAGAAATTCTGACAGACAAAGAATACAGAACCTCTATTCAATGGATTGGTATATTTTTTTATTTATACATACATATGTATATACATTTATTACTAATTTAAATAATTTCTAGGAACTGAAGGAGAGTTTAAGTTAAATAATCCTGAATATGTTGCTCAATTGTGGGGTTTGAGAAAAAATAAGCCAACAATGAATTATGAAAAATTATCAAGAGCATTAAGATATTATTATGATGGAGATATGATATCTAAAGTACACGGCAAACGATTTGTGTATAAATTTGTTTGTGATTTGAAACAAGTGATAGGATATAATGCCGGAGAACTTGCCAAATTAGTTTACGAATCTGCTATGAGCAGTTCTTCAGGATTCTCATGGAGTACATTAGGTTAAAATTTTAATCAATATCACATGAATTAATACTATACTATGTATAAATTAATACCATATATATAATTATAATGTTTCTTGTTTTCAGATCAGTCTTTAATGTTTCCTGAAACGAATCCATAATGAACATGGATGAATGTTATACTGAAGTTTTAATTTATACAAATACCAATTTGAAATAATTATGATTTTCAAAATATTATTTTGGTCTTGTGCATCATACATGCATGTAAATGCCTTTACAATAATGGTAATTCATACATAAATGTATAGTTTATATCTGCATTCATGCTAACAAATGTAATTGAATTTCTCATAAAATTGTTTAATGAACACTTGATTCAAAGTTCATTATGTACATTGCATGTAATTATGTTAATAGAGATCTTATAATAAAATTGTTGAAAAACATTTATAATTCATATAAAATGTTATCATTGCCAACTTCGATAATAAGATAATTCACTTGGTATACAAGTTTTTTCTGGAAATATATATATATATATATATATATATATATATATATATATATATATATATCATATTTTGTCATGTTGTTTTAAAATAAGAAAAAAAATATCACAAAAACATGAAAACTTAAAAGTAAACTGGTGGTGTATGGCATCGTGCCTTAAGGCAAATTACTGAAACTTCCCTGAAATATTTTAAATGTTTTCAAATAGATTATTATAAATATTGTAACATTGTCTAATATTTATGAGAATTATATAAACTGAATTGCAAAGTTAAAATTATTTGTTTAAAGTATATTAGAACAAAATTAAAATCTGAATTATTTTCGATGTACAAAAAAAAATTTTTTTTGAATAAAAAATTTTTGAAATAAGTTTTTTTCTATAAAAGCAATTATTTTGTTAAAACAAGCAGAAAGTTTTTTGAATCATTCAAATCGGACGCTTGGTTCTTTCAAAAACTTTCATTTTTTGCACATTTAGCTCTGTATCTTCGAAACAGAAACGAAATACGAACCTAATGTTTTTTGAACCATTCAAATCGATCCGTACGCCCGAAAACGTGTAATTTTAATTTGAAAATTTGCTTTATTTGACTTAAATATATACATTGATTTTTACATAAAGATACAAATTGTATACACCTATTCTGGGAATATCATTATACTATCATAATATAATATTGTTTGCATATATATATAGTTGTTTCAATTAGCTTATATAAGTATGAAAAGAGCTATTAAAAACATACTGCCATAAAAACATACTGCCATATCTTCACGTTTTGAAGGTTTCTGAACATTTTGGCATACTTCAGAAAAAATGTATGTGTGTGTGTGTGTTTTGTATGTCCGCATTTTTTCGTCCGCGTTTTCTATGGCAGTATGTTTTTAATAGCTCTTTTCATACTTATATAAGTTAATTGAAACAAATATATATGCAAATAATATTATATTATGATAGTATAATGATATTCCCAGAATAGGTGTATACAATTTGTATCTTTATGTAAAAATCAATGTATGTATTTAAGACAAATAAAGCAAGCAAATTTTCAAATGAAGATATGCAAAAATTTTCATTTTTGATTTTTGGCCCATTACTATAACTACCCCACGGAAAGTTAATAATAACAGTAAGTAATAATAAAAGTAAACAAAAAAATTGTAAAAACACATATTTATAATTTAGTTTATTAATAACATCTTTCACTGATTTAATACCCGCTAAAAAAAACTGTAAAATGAGTTTGAAAATGGAAAACTGGAAAGTTGCTATTATAAATGTTGTGCATATATAATTGGCTGGGTCATTTCTTAATAATTAATGTCAAATAAATTAATGATAAAGTTTAAATTTAATGTTGAAAAAAAAGGTTTCAAAATTTTAATGAAACTGTCATCATGGATGGTATTAACTAATATCCTAAAATGTTCTAGTTTCACAGTTAATTTATAAAAATAAAAATGGTTTAGATATATTTGATATTCATATTATAACTTATTATATTATATAAAGTAATATTAATCTTTATTTTGAAATTTGTAATTGTAGTGGGGCACGCCTGCAAAATGTTTGTGTGCCGGCGGCCTTATGCCAGTGTTACATTTGACAGTAATGACGCATTTGTTTTGACATTTGTAATTTAAGTCCAAAATACTTGAGACTTTGTATTTGTTGAATTTTTGTTTAATTGTTTGGGAAGAAGAGCAATAAATATGAATAGATTATTTGGAAAATCTAAGCCGAAAGAACCTCCACCGAATTTGACAGACTGCATAGCAGGAGTTAGTATAAATTAATATTCTTGACTATATATCTGAATGCATGTATATTATATTTATTTCAGGTCGATGGAAGAGCTGAAGGCATAGAAAAGAAAATAGCAAAGCTTGATGCCGAACTACGCAAATATAAAGACCAAATAGTTAAAATGCGCGAAGGACCTGCAAAAAATGCTGTAAAGCAAAAAGCCATGAGAGTTTTAAAGCAAAAGAAAATGTGAGTCATACCACAAATATTTCATCATTTTCAGTATGTAACTAATCTTATTTAGTTACTTTTATATTATTATTATTTTCTTTACTATTTATTATACTCTTAATAGATTTTTTACTGGGCCTATCTACTAATATACAATCATAATGTTATCCGTTTCTCATATATAGTGAACAGTTTGTCCTCATTTGTTTTTATTAATAGATCGCAGAATAAATGAATTAAAAAAAAAAAATGATGTAATTATGATAGTCATGATTGATAACTGATGATATTCAAATTCAGGCCTAAATGCATTGTACACTAATCAATGTTTGTCTTTATAAGCTCAATATTAGGTTTGCAACGACTATTCGGTTACTCTTTATTATTTAAAATATTTGGCACCATTCATACTAGCCTAGGCATAAAACTTGTATATACATGTAGTGTGTTAGTAATATAAATATTGTGGACGATTACATTAAAATAAATGAGTTAAGGCACTACATATCCGAATAGTTGCCGAACATTTGGTATTCGGTCATGAGAGTATGCTGATTTTGCTGAATATACTATTTGTTGCAAGTCTCATCATGTATAATTGTTTACTATATATATATATATATATATATATATATATATATATATACATGGTCTGTTCAAAAAGTACCCGGAATTACTAATAATTAAATTTCGCGGGTCTGGAGTGTCTGATTGTCAAAATTTTTTTTTTATTGTGTTGGTATACATGCCCCTAAAGTATGATGAAATTTTCAGCTATATTCACTGTTTACTTTGTCTGTGGTAGTCGCTAAGGTTCGACGTGTTTTTCTGAGCTCGGCGATTTTTACAATGGAAGAATTGAAAAAGTCAAAGAATTTGTATTAAATTTTGCGTAAAAAATGAAATAAAGTGTTGCAAAGTGCAAAAATTCACCAGATATGGCTCCGTGTGACTTTTTCCTATTCCCAAAGTTGAAGAGACCCATGAAAGGACGGCGGTTTTCCTCGATTGAAGAAAATCGCCGAGAGTGCTCAAGGACATATCAAAAAGTGAATATCAAGGGTGCTTCGAAAATTGGAAAAAACGCTGGCATAAGTGTATTATATCTGGGGGGGACTACTTTGAAGGGGACCACATTAATGTAGACGAATAAATAAATATTTTTTTGAAAAAACGAAAATTACGAAAACTTTTTGAACAGACCTCGTATATATATATATATATAATTATTATTATTATTATCTTTGTGTTAGATTAATTATTGGCAATAATACCTTGGTGTAATTCCAAAATTAAGTTTATTTGCTTTCTATGTGTATTCGTTTTTATGATTTTTTTTATGAATCTTTCATGTTAAATTTTACATTTATATGGATACTTTTCATACATATAATTTAATAGACAATATTTTCCTTAATAAAAAACATATTTTATAATTTTTGACATTTTGCACTTGCTACATGAATGAATATAATATTAACAGTTTAGTTTATAATAATTCAATATATCACAAGATAACAAATTGGCTAATCCTCCTTCATTCAAAATTGTAAAGTTTTTGAGCTAGCTTTTTTTTAATTTGACTTTTTATAAAGCCATCTTTTATTTTCATATTGCAACTTAACTTATCGCAAGTGATTGTTAACTTTAGCTTTATTTTATTCAAATTTTATTCATATTATTTTTAAAAAATGAATACATTTTTTTTTTCTCAGGTATGAGCAACAAGCTGAAAATTTGCATAACCAATCTTTCAATATGGAACAAGCTAACTATGCAGCGCAAATGTTGAAAGACACACAATCTACAGTTGTAGCCATGAAAGATGGAATGAAACAAATGAAGCATGAATTTAAAAAGATTAATATAGATGAGATTGAGGTATTGTAACTTATTTTCTTTCTTTAAAGCATCTTCAGATGAATGGTATAACAGTCATATTTTATTTCTTCGCACATTTCTGATTGAGAAAATATGTACATCTAATTTTAGATGCTGCTAATTTCAAGAATACAAGATTCTTTTTCAAAAAGTTAAAAATTAAAGCTAATGACAAATTTGTTGTATTTCTATTATTGGGCAGATTGCTTATTTACATATTTTAACAGAGAGTTTCACTATTTTCAGGATATACAGGATGACATGGCCGATATGTTAGAACAAGCTGATGAGGTACAAGAAGCTCTTGGTCGTACATATGGTATGCCTGATATTGATGATGATGAACTTGCTGCTGAATTAGACGCTCTTGGTGATGAAATAGCTTTGGATGACGATACTAGTTATCTAGATGATGTTGTGAAAGCACCAGCAGCACCAGATAAGGAACCTGGAGCTGACAGCATTCGAAATAAGGTTTGATATAATATTCAATTATAGACACATGTTTAAATCAATATTGAAATTTGAAAATCGAAAGAAATATTCCTTATTTTTTAATGATGCTGAATGTCAAATCTTTTCCAAAATCTAAAAGTAATTGGAATGAATCTTAACAGTATTCTCTTTTTTATTATTTATTCATTATTACACGATTTTATTATTTATTTTATAAGGAAGACGTTAGTACATAATTTTCTAAGCATCAATAAAATTTATAGTCAAATCAACTGTGTAATTATATATTTGGATTTTTTTCAGGATGGTATTCTGGTTGATGAGTTTGGCTTGCCTCAAATACCTTCTACTTTAAAAACTTCATGAATGTATAGCAACTTATTAAATTATTATATAACATGCAAAGCATCAACATATTACAAATTGCACAGTGGCTTAACAGCTTTGTATTAACATTAGTACTATATTAAACAATGCTTTTTGAATGACATTTATTATGTAAATTTTTAATATATCTTTTCTATTTGTGATGACTAAGTTAGTTATATTTTAAAATTTTTGAAAAGTTTTAAAATTATATTTTTTGCTGGCGACTAATATAATTATACATAATTTTCTTAAATTATCTAAAACTGTTACATTTTTGTAAAAGATTTGTAATGAAATATAAGCACTTGCTTGTGTAATATTTAGTTCAAAAATAAATATTTACAAACCTCATTCAATTTTGAATTACTCATTAATGTAAGTGATTTACCTACTTATTCTAGCACACTAAATAAAGCAATACTTTCTAATTAATGAATTTTAGAGGCATAAAAATTTAGTAATTATTGATTTCTTAGATGTTCATGAGTTCAACCTTGTATATTATATATAGAAGAAAGATTACATATTAATTTAATTTGATTTATATTCTTTGTTAGTATTGCTGCTGTAGAATAGAAATTTAATATCTAATAGAAATTTTTACTTACAAAATTTTCAACAAGAATGTTTAGAATTGAGATAAAAAAAATAATTTTATAATATTTTTTGAAGGACACATAAACATATATATATATATATATATATATATAACAATAATAATAAAATAAATAATATTTTATACTCAGATTCAACAGGGATCAGAACTTCTGTTCTATGAGCTGTTGTGCTCGAACTTCTTCTTACATTGTATTTTTAGATGGTAACCCAATACATAATCCACCCATATTTGATTAATTTTGTACTAGAATTTATTTAATAGGGCTGATATAAGCAATCTATATTTCCAAGCAAAAATGGACTTGAAAAAATCGAAATGAAAATTTTTATATATCTTTGCGTTTCGAAGGTTTCTAAACATTTTGACGTACTTTAGAAAATTGATACAAACTTTTGTCGACGATTTCGTGACCACGGATCATCGATTTCAATAAATAAAAAAACATTTGATTTGTATTGGCGGGGAGACGTGCTGATTAGTTTTGTCAAAGCCAGGTCCAGTCGTTCTGAAGATACGCGGCAAAAGTGCCAAAAATGGTAATTCAGATTTGAATGATTCAAAAAACATTTTATTTATATTGACGAAATGAAGAACTGATTAAAGTTTTGGAAAGGCAGGTGTAGCGGTTTCGAAAATCTAATAAAAAAGTAAAAAAATGCCATTTGGAGGTCTAAAATGATCATTAGACATATTAGATAAAATGATCATTAGACATATGCATGTGAAATTATATGATATTTTATTAATAAAAACAAATTTTATTTACATTTCAATGGGTTTCGTACCAATTTTTATCCATTAGACTGCGACGCAGCGCGATTGCTTTGAAGAAAAATGAAAAATTGAAGAAAAAAGTTGAAAATTTCCAAAATATTTCAAAATATAAAAAAATCTTATTTTTCAGTCATTTTTTTTTAAATTTTAAGATTTTCAAAAATCTAATTTGTGCAACAATCGGCCGTCTGTCAATTTTGTGCAACAATCGGCCAAGCTATTTTTAATCAACAGAATAGTGTACAAATTTTCGTGCACGTTTTAGACAAAAATCCTGCACCGTTTTTAAATATTTAGAAACTGTTATTTGAAAGATATCATTTGGGAATCATGCTGATTAGTTTTAAGAGATCGGTCGGATCGTTTCTTCGTATTTAATTGTTAAATATTTTTTTACGATGATATTTATGAAACTTTTTTGGCGATAGAAATCATGATCTCAAATATAAGTAAATATTTCAACCTTACGACAAATTTTCAAAATATTATCAAAGTTTGAAAAAGTTAGCAGCTTTAAGGCAAAGTTGCCACTTACACCTAGTTTATACATTTATTAATGATTTGAAAACAAAGCTTGATTCGATCTCGCCTTCCATACAACAAATCAAAGCGGTGTTATGTTTCATTTCTGCTTTACCAAATAAGTTCATATTTCTTATTCACGCTTTTAGCACAACAATATGCTGGTATGTAAGGAATGCAATACCGGTATACCGAATTACCGGTAAACCGCCCGATTTTTCGGCGGTATTTTTACCGGTATTTAACCCAAAAATACCGGTATTTTCGGTATTTTACATAAGCGCTATTTGATACATAATACATTAAAGTTCAAATTTCTCGGAACAAATTTATCTTTAAATTCCATAATCGCATAAACAGCTATATCTTCAAGTGATTCTATAGGATAAACAAATGTCAAATATTATCTCAACTCGTCATTAAACTGAATATTTATTGCTTCACTAAGGGCTTCATATCGTGTTACAATAAATAGAATTGGACTGATAGATAATGATGTTTTTTTCATCTTATGTAAAAATGTAATGGTTTTTTAACTGATATTTGCGCCAAAATATTTTATATCATACAGATTACCCTTGCGTAATCTAACTTTATACATAATAATTATGATAATTACTAAATATTTTCGCTTCTTATTAAAATTATAAAATATTATTTTTCGAAAACGTTTCGAAGTTTGAGAATACAATAGAAGCATCACATTGTTTTAAATAACAATACTCAACAATTATAGTAACTTATAATTTATCTCGACAAAGTATCCGATCTTAAATTAGTGTAGAAAAATTATTTTTTTTAAATATTAGAGAATATGCTAATTAGATTAATTTAACACATCGGATACAGAGATTACAGTTTATTATAATAATGTAATATGATCTTTTATGAGTTTTTGGTCTTTCTTACTCAAACGTTTGTTTTTGGTGAAAAGTACGATAGTGATAATGAATTAATTAAATTGGATATAATTTTGTTGAATTATTAATTAAAAAAATAAATTTATTGTTTTATTTTAATGTTTTTATTGTTTAGTTGAATATAGTTGTAGTTGTATATACATTTTTTTATATTTGTACTAGTAACTTTTAATTTTGTTTACGTTTGTTTAAGATAATACAAAATACCGGTAATTTACCGGTATCCCGGTTTTAAAATGAAAAATAACCGAAATACCGGTATTGAAATTTTCCATCGGTATTGCATTCCCTACAATGAGGTACAATGAGATGTTATAGCATAGATACAATGAGATGTTAAATCCAACAACAATAAAAATCCAATCAGAAGAGAATCCAATAAGAAGAAAGATCCAATAAGTAAAATTATAACTCTAACGGGAGTGTCTGGTTGCATGGTTTTGGGCGTTTTGGGTGACAGTAAATAACGAACACCTGCGCTCGTGTGATTCTCATAAGAATCGTGTTGCTGCCATCTGTGCGAGTAAATCTATTATCAACGCCATAATGTCATGCGCACCTTCTATTCAAAATGCTCATGTCAGATCAGTATGTTTTGCTCTGCGCAATAGAGCAGTCGATCGTAATTGACGTTTACGCTCGTCGTGTAAATAAGTGTTTAATGTCGCATTGATACACGTGCTGTTTTACTACTGACAACTATAAAAGTGTTTATAGGCCTATTACGGTTGTGATTTTTTTGTAATTAATATTTTATTATCATCATGATGACTTTTTATCATTCGCAATTATAATTTACATTTGCGTTGTAAGACTTATAATAAAATAGTTGGAATTTCTTTGTTTGAAACATTCTTATTTATATTTTATTGTTTATTTAATTTGATACGCATAAATTCTTTTTATAGTCTAAAAAATGTGCTATAGTGAATTTTTTGTAAATAAATAATTTAAAATATAATTATTACTTACCATACGACACAATAAGTAGCTTTTTATCCTAAATGACTATAAAATTTTAACAGAAATTTTAGCGAATTAATTCCTTCCAAATAATTTCATTTAAGGGGGTATTCTACTGTAGAAGCATGAATTTTGTCCGGTTTTTGAAGCGCTGTATAAAGGAAATAAATAATATGTTTACTATAGATTTTTTTGTCATTTGTTTATTGATATTTTATTATTACATAAAAAAAATATTAAAGAAAAAAAATTAGAATTCACAAAGTTATGAGCAGTCAAAGTGGGGGCTCAAAAAAAAAGAGGGTGTCCTGGCGTGCATGATTCCAACCCTCCTGGTGATCCGAAACATAAAAAATAGATGGATTCTTAATTATTATAGATGCCGCTATCGTATGAACCTTGGATAAGTTAAAAAAAAAATTTGTTTGAATGGCGGCAGTTTGAAAACAAAAAAATTTTTTTCATGTTTTTTTTAACAATTCCGATTTTTTTTAAAATACTAAATAAAAAGTTATAGTTGTGGGCAATGTCCATGCGATAAAGCGATGTATAGAGAAGATCCTCTCCAAATTTGAAGTAAATCGGTTCATTAGAACTCGAGATATCCTTACCGCCAGTTCGAAAAAAGTGGTTTCGAGAAAAACGCGTTCAAAGTTTTGAGACTCGGTCGGACCCGAACCGAGGCCACGTCACTAAAACGGATATAACTCAGGAAATAATAGTAATATTGAAAAATCCTTTTAGTGACATATTTTTGAATAACTAAACTTTGAAAATATGAAAAAACAAATTTTTCGATTTTTTCAAAATTTTACAGTAGAATACCCCCTTAAAACGCCTTCTTTACTTTTTGCTTTATTAATATTGAGTGAAAGTTATAATTGCTAATCAGTTTGATTACCTCTATTACAGAAGAAACAACCCCCAAAATGTCTAAGCCGGTACAGGGTTTGAGTGATGATCAACGTATGGCTTTGATGAAGGTACAGATTTTTATTTATTGATGATGAACTAATGTATTTGGTTGTCTTACTTTACACTGCCTTTCTACAAATGAGCCATAAATACATTTAAAAATCATTTTTTATCGAAATCCAGTTGGAATCTCGTTATGTCTTACTTTTTCTTGAAGAAGTCAATTAATTAAAACAGTTCTGATAATTAAATATAGAGAAAGCGTATTTACATTTTGCAAATTGAGACTAATATGCACGTATGACGAAAGCTGAATTTGATTTAATACATTATTTGAACTTTTTTTACATGGCCTTGTGCCTTAGCTTTTGAATCTTGTCATTTGTTTAACTAATTCTTTTTCAAATATTAACTTCATACTCGAATCGCAAATTTGCTTCATAAACTTATAATCACGGTCATAAGATATATATATATATATATATATATATACATATATATATACATATATGTATATATGTATATATATATACGCCCAAAACGAAAGATAGGTTCCATGAAAAACAGTGTAACTCGAAAAATTCACTATATGTGATATAACCGTGCTAAAAATCACTATAAAAAGCCTTTTTTATCAGTTTTCAATATGATGAATGACGATAATCGTATAGATATAACCTTTCTTTTACTCTCTAGTTTTTTATTTTATCTTTTGCGATTGTTGATCTAATATATTTTTTTATAAATTATTGATTTTGTAGAAACTAATTCTGTTATTCTTCACGTTTAAAAACAATTATGCTCTAGGTTTTGGCATTTCAAATAAACTAGCATATATATTAGGGCAGTTCGATTTAAAGGTCACTTAGGCACATATGATTTTTGGATTCTAGGGATCAAAATAAGATACTTTGCTGTACAAACTATACCTCTAAAATGAATTATGATGTTCCATGCATTAATTCAAAAATAAGGATTAAATTTTCAAAAATCTCTCATTGAGGGTCTCAGGGGGTGAACCACGGGCATGGGTGGATCGGCCTCCCAAAGTTATAGGGGGCCGGTCATACATATTGATGCGATTGAGGCACTCTATATGGGTCAAAACAGTTTTTCAAATATTAACCCTAATTTTAGGGTCAGTGCACAGGATATCAGAATTCATTGGTATGGTTTCTTCAGCAAAATATATTATTTTGATCCCTAGTATCCGAAAATCATATGTTCCTAAACGGCTATTTTTGACCCATACAAATCGGCCCGCTCTAATATACACACATAAAATTTAGTTTTGATCATGAAACGGGTAATTTCCATTTTATCTATATATTTCCATCATAAAAATAAACTACTAAGAATTCGTATTATACATTTTATAGTGTTGTATTTTTACAATAAAACAATGAAAATGCTTATGTAGATATAAGCAAATTATAGTTGAGTGTTTATAAGTCGGTGTAGATTCAGAATTAATAAATTTCGTTAAAAAAAATATTTTGAAGATCGAGTAAACTCGAAAACGTGTAAAACGAGAGATAGTGCATATATTACAAAATTTTACAATTATACATATACACAAACATATATACAAATTTTATATTATACGATATCGTTTAATCTACTAAAATAATTATTTTTAGAAAAATAAGTACATACATTAAATAAGTTGAAGTTGTATTTTTAATCGAATGTCTGCATTTGCATTTTTCTACTTATTCATTTCTTTTTTATTTCTACATTTAGATATTTGTAATCATTGGATTTTTTGCGTTTGAATTTTTCTACTCATTGGATTTTCTTCTTATTGGCAATATCTTATTGGACATTTCTTCTTATTGGATTTTTTTTACTCATGGGATTTTTCTTATTGGATTTTTACGTTTCAATTCTACTTGTTGGAAATTTTACTTACTGGATTTTTTTTCTTATATTTATTTGTGTGTATATGTATGTATGCATGTGTAATAATGATCCTTAATATGAACATTTTTGAATTTCCCTGCTCCCAAGGGCTTAAATGCTTCCAAATTGATGAAAAAAAATCTCTAGAAGTTTTAGCTCTTAATATTGTCTTTTAGATAGTGCGCAATTTAATCAAAGTTTTGTATGGAAATAGCATTGAAAAATTTTCAAAAATTTTATAAATGTTTTTTTAGATATAACTTAGCGAACAAATGAATGAGTTTTATTCAAAATTCGACGCTCTACAAAACAAATTATAGAAAAACTTGTTTTATAGTGCGTCGAATTTTCAATAAAAGATGACACGAATTGTCACTTTTAATGCATTTGTCGCTAAGTTATACCTAAAAACATTTTCAAAATTTTCGAAACTTTTCCATGCTATTTCCATACGAAGCTTTGATTGAAGTGCGCACTATCTAAAAGTTAATATTAAAAGCTAAAACTTTTAGAGATTTATTTTTATCAATTTGGAAGCATTTAAGCCCCTGAGAGCAATAAATTTATATATATATATATATATATATATATATGAGTGAGTTCTTGAGGGCGATACATCAAACAAAGAAAAGCCAAAGATTTATAAAATAATCTTCATTTCCAAACGTTTCGACATTCAATTTAATGTCATCATCAGTGGATATTACGTTGGTTAGTTACATATAGAGAAGTGTACACAGCACTAGAGATTTGGCACTAACATTTATACAACTAACTTGTCAGCACTATGCATTTTTTTATATAATTTTTTTGTATGATGTAAACAGAAAATGATAGTTTTATTGAACAAAAATGTAAGTAGAATTATGTAATTTCTGCCACGACTTCTGTACTTTGCTAGTACCGAGGCATGTATCGGATACATGCCTCGGTACTAGCAAAGTACAGAAGTCGTGGCAGAAATTACATAATTCTACTTACATTTTTGTTCAATAAAACTATCATTTTTCTGTTTACATCATACAAAAAAATTATATAAAAAAATGCATAGTGCTGACAAGTTAGTTGTATAAATGTTAGTGCCAAATCTCTAGTGCTGTGTACACTTCTCTATATGTAACTAACCAACGTAATATCCACTGATGATGACATTAAATTGAATGTCGAAACGTTTGGAAATGAAGATTATTTTATAAATCTTTGGCTTTTCTTTGTTTGATGTATCGCCCTCAAGAACTCACTCATATATTTCAACATCAAAATTAACTACTAAATCATATATATATATATATATATATATATTTGTATATATATGCAATGGTGCATTTGGTCTATGCATTCAGAATCATCTTTTGTTTTGGTATTGAACAATACCCATCGAAAATGAATTCGAGAGAAAGATATTTTGAAATATTCCACTATACTGTTTGTACACAATAAAAATGAATAAAGGATTGTGCTGGAGATTTAAAATTTGTAACATATATATATATATATATATGAAAATTTTAAAAATTAAATATATATATATATATATATTATTATTATTGTTATTGTTATTATTATTATTATTATTATTATTATTATTATTGTTATTATTACAAATATGAATGTGTAACTGCATATATACCCATGAATTACTTGAGGTGTTTGTAATCAGCTTGTGCAGTGGCATGGAATCCGATTTGATAATGCGAAGTTACATAATCTAGTTCAAGGCTTAGAACGGGTATCGTTCATCAACAATCGCATTAGTGACACACCACTATTCTTGCACAAACCATTCATAAATGGTAACTCTTATTCGTGCTCGAAGGTGAAAAAGTCTTAAATTCGTTTTTTTATGAATAACACGTCAGTACGTCTAATCGTCTAAGAGTTGTTATGTACTTTACCTTTATTAAAGCGATATCTTGTTCTTTGTAAAGACATTCAGAAACTTTATTTGCTATTATTACTCATCAGGCAGCTTTTAGGTAACGCCAAGAATTTTTTTATTTAAATAATATTGAAATGATATATTTATTTTATTTTTTTTTATTCTCATATTTATCAACAATCGAAACCTTACGTCCTATGAGCTGTTGGGCTGAAACTTCTCCTTACTTCGTATTTTTTGGATGGTAACCCAATGATTAATCCATCCATATTTGATGACTTTATTATTAGAATTTATCTAATTGGGCTGACTTCTTATTAGTGCAGCAAAACCCGGATCAAGTGCTATTTTCACTTGAATACATATTGCTATCTGTTTTTCCAAATGAAAATCGTTGTCACTGATGCCTGACAACAGGCTTCTCGAAGTGGGTATTGAACCCGGGACCTCTGAATCTAGTCCCATCGCTCTTAACCGCTTACCTACGGGCGACCCCACAATTATATATATCATAGTTTTTAAAAAAAGAAACTGCTCTCCATCAATAACGCCAATGCAATTTTATATATTGTCCTATTATTATAGTACTAGTGCAACTTGATAATATGATAGAGCCACTAAAAAGATTGTTTTTGGTTTTTAAAATTGCATTCTGAATCTCAGAAAACATTTTTTATAAAAAATATTAATATGTAATTAATATCGTCTGTTGCAATATATATCTCATCGAGAGTAGATAAAAAATCTAATAAAATTCCATCAGATAGAGAATGATCAACTACTGGTTTGCATTCTAATAACTCTATCTAGGTAAAAAATTCACAAGCCAACAGCTTATAGAACATACATATAGTTCTGATTGCTGTTTAAACAACCAAAACATATAATTTACAACTATCTCTAATGGACATCTAGTAAATCTAGAGATAATATATTTGGTTAAATGCCACCTGATAAGCAAATGACATTAGTAGAAGTAGGCCGTGCAACTTATACTTAATACAAAGTACAATTCAATGAGGGTTACGCCCAAAAGTAAACAAAAAGTAAAAAGAATAAAAATATATTTTAAATTAAATTTCATCTATGCAGAGTTAGCGGGTGTGTTTCTTTAGCCTCCTTGAAATGTTAATAGCCAAAAGGTTTTTCTCTAGTTTGATTAGAGTGAGACCTCAATCATTCTTTATGTCTGATTGCAAATCGTACTATTTCTTCTTATACGGTGAATATATTGGTATCTTGATGCACAAGCCAATTTAGGACATATTCAGGCGCTGATAGGCAAAT